TTGAGGAATTGATAATTTTGTAATTAAAAGTGACATTTTTAGAGGAATGGTTTTGTCATCAAGACGAGGGGTTTCTGCATGCATGTATTTTCTAGCCGGTTAAATATTAAATGCGCTAATGCGAATTTCTAGCTTATATTTATATTTCCTGTTTCTATCCGGGGTATTCTATACAAATTTATATGATAATCTCAAGATTTCATGCGATTTCATTGGTCGAGAGCCATGATCTATTAGAGGACAGACGCACAGAATTACGTCATTAGTTTTTAAAATGTCGAAAATATTTGAAAATTCCATTGAATTTTTACAAATTGAATGAATTCATGGAATTAAATCTATAAACATCAATAAATACCTTCGATAAATGTGCAGAAATCACTCACAAAAGCTAGCAACTCGGCAAATGTCAATTCAGTCATTCAGCTGCGACTTCAAATTCAATTGTCTTTTGGCAACAGGCTTCCCAAGCCCACATGTGGTTGGGGTCGCTATATATTTGTATTTATATTAGATTACTATGACAGAGTATATATATTGTCAAAAAATGCTGAAATATTGTAGAAAATTTAGAAATAAGGTGGCTTACCACTACTACAAGGTGTAATTGACTTTTCTTGGTCAGGGCCTCTTTTAACATATAAACTGTGGGGGACATGTTCCCCCAGGCCACTTACTCCCCAGTGCAAGGTCCCTAAGAACTGCCTGCAATTATATATCAAAGTTAGAAAATGATGTTATTAAATTAAGTTGTTAAAGTTGTTAACATTTCTGAATTTGACCATTATCTGCAGGCTCGTAGGCTAACTAGCTGAGTCAACCGAGTCAGTTGACTCGGTAGGAATTTGGGGACTGAAATTTTAACATCGCCAGAAACCTAAACCATGGCTGAAATAACTTGCTCGTGGAAAAAGGCATGCAATGACATTTTAGGACGAAATTCTAGTTTAGTTTTTCCAAGCAAAGATACTCCAAAGAGACCGCCCTATCTTGGTCTTCAGTGACTGATAAGACGAATGTGTCGATGTCAAGTACCCCAATACATGTAATACGGTACTGTATAATTTGAAGTATGGTGAATGATAATACTATACCACGCACATTTTCCTTAACGCATCATCACATCATGCTGCCTTATTGGGACTAGTTTGCATTTAGGAGACTGTAAAATTGCAGTAATTGTGTCACTGTTTATAAGCTTAATTTCTTGTTGGAACACTCCTCAAAATGCTGGAAATAGCTTATCTGACCTTCAGGAAATCCAAAATTTTCTGGGGGGGGGGGAGATGCCCCGGATCCCCCTAGACGGCTCGCACCTACGGTGCTCGACTCGGTTGTCTCAATAACCTAGTTACGGGTCTGATCTGCCCTATGACGTATACTTAATAGTTAAACCATGCATATATATGGTTGTAGCTGCAGTGATACAGACTTGTCGACTGGAATTTCTCCAGGTCCCCCGCGAAATATCCCCCCCCCCTAGTTACACAACATTAAACGAGGACCTTTTCAGGGTTGATTTGAGTGATTTTCAATCCGCTTGAGATACGTATTTTCTTACTAAAAAATATAGAGAAGGCAGGTTACTTCCGCTCCAATTATTATCGAATTAGTGGCATCGACTTTCCAAATCGCGATCGCTCTCGCGTCGCTAAATAACGCATCGAATTGCCAAAACCAACAGATTCGTAAAGCCCAGTAAATTTTCTATAATATACATTGTCTTCAGCAATCATAAGCTTTTTTTTGTACAAGCGACAACAACAACAACGCGATTCGGATCAACCAATGGCTGCAGAATGTGTAATTTTGAATTCGAGAGCTCTCAACTGAATATGTCAGCTGTCTGAGATCAAGCATTTTATTGATTTTTACGGACAATAAAAGGCCTCTGATTGCTGAAGATGATGTATATTATAGGAAATTTACTGGGCTTTACGAATCTAGATCTGTTGGGTTTTTTTTTGCAATTCGATGCGTTATTTAGCGACGCGACAGCGATTTGTGAAGTCGATGCGACTAATTCGAGATAATATTGGAGCGGAAGTAACCTGCCTTCTCTAATTTTTAGTAAGTACATACGTATCTCAAGCGGATTGAAAATCACCCCAAATCAACCAAGAAAAGTCAATTACGCGTCGTATAGTAGCGGTAAGCAAACTTATTTCTCAATTTAATACAATATTTTAGCATGTTTTGACAATATATATATTCTGTTATAGTAAGCTAATATAAAAATATACCCCAACCAACCAAACATGAGCTCGGGAAGCCTATGTTTTGGCGATTTGCCATAAATAGCATATATAAGGAGGGTGGTTGTATTCCGAGTAATGAGTAATGAGTAATGAGTAATGAGTAATGAATTTTCGTACTTGCTTTGGAAAGATAAACCATGAAAACATCATGCACAGTGATTCCACTCACTCCTTGCCGTGAATAGTTATAATCAGGCATTAAAATAGCGTGTCCTTGTACACACTTTGTGTCCTTGTAAAAGGCGAATGTGCCCTTGTAAATTGAAAAGTGTGTACTTGAAAATATATAAAACTGAAAATATATTAATGTAATCCACGTAAAATTGCCAAAGATTTTAAAAATTCTGTTCTCAGAACTCTGGAAATGCCATTTCAGAGACCCCCTTAAAAGCTCGCGTTTTCGACGCTAAACTTGTGGCTTCGGCACTCGTTCTCGTGAGTCTACGCATTTATGCCAAAAATACGACTCTGAAGGCAAAGTGTGTCCTTGTAAAAATTCCGTATTTTAATGCCTGGTTATAATGCTGTGATAGTGTCAGCAGTTTAAACTGCATGGTTTGATCAAATATGGCCATAATTTCGCTTATAGCATACTCGTTTTTAGTACGTCACATATTAACCAGTTCAGCCTTCAAAACGTTTGTCTCCAAGTTGAATAACATGTTCGCAATAGTAGAATTACAAGTAAACACTAATATAGCGGTCGACAAAAATCGATTTAAAGAGTAATATCTTGGTTTTATAAACTGAAAACTTAGTTATCGACATTTCGCATGGGAAAAACCTGAACAAAATGGTATGGAAAATGTTTTCGAGCTTAAAAACGTTTGGACGTCAATTGCGGATTTTATACTGGCTGCATGACCGCAGATAGCAAAACAAATATGGCGACCGAACAAAATTTATCATAAAACCAACCTTTATACGACAGAGCTTGTATTCTACAGTATACTATTGCGAACATGTTGTTCAACTTTGGGACGATCGTTTTGAAGGTTGAACTGGTTAACATGTGACATGCTAAAAACGAGTATGCAATAAGCGAAATTTATATGGCCATATTTGATCATACCAGTTTAAACTGCTGACATCGTCACAGCATTATAATTATTCACGGCAAAGATTGTGTGGAATCACTGTCAATGTTTTCATGGTTTATCTTTCCAAAGCAAGTAGGAAAATTCATTACTCATTACTCATTACTCATTACTCATTATTCATTACTCGAAATACAAACACCATGCATATAAGGAACAACGTATCCCACATTGGCGATTTGCCATAAATAGCATATATAAGGAACAACGTAAACAATCCATTCATTGTATTAAATTAAGTAAGTAGTTTCCGTTGCTGTGTTTGGTGATATTTGGTCAAGATCCAATTCAGACCTATAGACCTAACCCACAAATCCAACATACTGTACATGTCAACTTATTCTGGTTAAATTGTGAAGCAGTATTATTATTAATAATAATGATTATACGCAATAGCGTCATAATATTTCTTCAGTAGTTGTTGTGACACAATGCCAATGACAGGTTACTTGGAAGTCAATATGACTGTTTGTACACTTATGTTAGACTTGCTAAAGTCGACTCGCATTCTAACGAGTGAGCCGGAATAAAACGAATGAGCGAGCTTGAGCTAGAGCCAGTCGACTTGTCGCGTTAGCAGGAAATTGCGTCTCGTTGGCGCGAAAAAGTAGACGACAATATTAATTCAAGACTTAAATATATTTTTAAAAATTCACTCAATGTTTGAACAGAACTGTTTCAATTACTCATACAACGCATAAATAAACACGGAGATGCATCGATCATAATCCATGGCCAATTCGTAAATCTGTTTCGCTAATATGCACCGACTCAGCTGACTAGGATTCGAGACTGTAAAAAAAATGGTGCGCAGCAACGACAAGGGCAAGGCACTTTTAACCTTGAGAGATTTGAGCTCAACCGCGCTGCTAAATAATATATGAGTCGAGTAGTCGACTTATAGCAAGTCTACACTTATGTCTGCGTAAATTATAACAAGCTTTTTTAATAATCAAACTCGCTAGAAAATTTACAATGCTATATGTGAGAACGAAACAAAAGACATTACAACAAACAAAGGCGAGTTAGATATGGGATCGGCGAACGGACTCGAAGACCCAACAAGGCAAATCCAACACATAAGTTGCAACTAGAAATTTACACTACGAAAACATAAAACTTCAATAAAAGTTCTCTAATCCACTGAACAGACAGCCCAGTCTGTTGCTCAGGTTGATTGCACATGCCAACTAAGAAACAAAGTAATTTATTAGGAATTATTTCAGAAAATAATCCTAATTCTAAGCCATGCGCTATAATACTAACCTTAATTCTAATTTTAAGATAAGGATGCAATGTATACATTGCACAGTCAATCTCAGGAAGAGACCGGGATGATGCAATGTAGCATTCTCCTCAGTAATACACCTTCGCTGCTTATTAACTTACAACAGGAAGGGCTGCCAATAGACCTATACAAGAAAGGCACTTAATCTGTCCGTATCAAAAACGTTCCGTAAAAAAAGGACATCGACTTTGTCATGTTGCCATGAATGATATAACAAAGGTCGAAAGGTCGATGAATTCACTTTTTAGCGACCATATAGCGACAACTAGCGACGATTATTTCGGCTTTCCTGTGAATACTACTGTAGATTCAAACGTCATTTAAATGTTTATCACAACACAAGGCATGTGTACGTAACATATTTGCAGTACATACCTGGCGAATATAACCCATTTCTTTGGTATATCCCGACGTATGATATGAATGTAAAGGTCGCCACAATCGCCAGAAAACCCAATACACGGCTCAGCCTTTGCGTCAACATTCTCTTCGCATAGTTGACATACGAAGCAATTTGATAACGTCCCTGAAAACACCTTAACGTGTTCTCGAAATTACATATGCGCACTCTAGCACATTCTATGGATTTTCTTTGCTGGGAAGACACAAACAAACGCTGGCAGTTTTGGTGTTTACAACTGCGGAATTTCTCAGTCACAAAAACGAAGCAGATGCTTGGATTTAATTATATTGTTGTTCAAGTTGTCTTGTCTTGTTTCATTGATACCCTCAGCGATCGGTTCTTCACCTTGTTTTCCCTTACCTTCACATCACCAGAATGCGTCTAAAAGGGAACACAAACGGTTAAACGAACGTTGATTTGTGATCTGTGATTTATTCGTTGAAAATACGATAGTATATATATGATATGCGACCCTGACTAATATAGGAAGTCATTTAGTAATTTAGCTAGTAGCGACAGTAGGGAGGGGTGGAGAAGGGTGGACCAGAGCTTATACTATCAGTGTGTGCATGTACTATAGGCCAGCGTTTCAGAAATTCTTGCGGGCTTGAGATGCCTTAATAATAATAATAATAATAATAATTTAATAATTTATAAAGCGCTTTTTACATATAATATAATGATCAAAAGGCAGGTATATACGAGAATTTCAATAGTATACGCGTGTTATGTTCCTGAGTGAAAATGTCAATTGTGGCGAGTTTCGTCAAATATTTGTATTTCAAAACTTTGGAATGCAATTTTAATTTAATAATACAATTAATCACAATACAATTTTGTCATGTTGCCATGAATGATAACAAAGGTCGAAAGGTCGGTGAGTAGCGGGAATTCTCTCCTAAACCGAGTAGCTACCAACTAAAGCGTCTTCTATTATGAACATTTTGCGTACTTTGATTCAAATAATTACAGTCAAAATACAAGAACCTTCCCACTTCCGCTTCTGTAACTTGTTTTGTATTTCTGTAATTTGTTCTATTTTTCTGTAGCGATTACCGCTTTATCGGCAAATATCGCGGTAGAATTTCCCTTTCTTTCCTTTATATACGTCAATTTGTAGCAAATTAGGATACACCTTCGGCGTCAGATTTTTTGCATAAAAGTTGCGAAATTTTGATTTTAGGACGTCAAATGCATGGTAGTCGGTAATTTTAATTTGTATAGTATGAACACACTATATATGATTTATCAGCAAATATCGCTTTATAAGATCTAAGTTTCGCAACTTTCATGCAAAGAATCTAAGAAAAGGTGTATTCATTGATTGCTACAAAGTGACGTATATATAATGGAAGGACGCGAAATTCTACCGGATCTATACCGCGATATTTGCCGATAAAGCGGTAGTCGCTACAGAAAAATAGAACAAATTACAGAAATACAAAACAAGTTACAGAAGCGAAAGTGCATGCATGGGAAGGTTCTTGTATTTTGACTGTAAATCCCCAAAACAGCATGTTAATACATAGAAACGTTAAGATAAATAGCTCAGCATATGACTATGTAATAACAATAAAGATGAAGAAAATAGGAATACAAAGCTTGAGAGTCGAGAGTGCGTTATATGTATATTTACAAACTATTAGAAACGGTCGGACATTCAAATATAAGCGAGTATGTAAGGAGAAGAGAAAATTAAATTAAACAAACTGTCAGTTGTTAGCATCATTCTGTATGTTAGTATTTACACCTATGTTATTAAAAAAGGTCAGTAGGAGTTGCCTTATAATGCTAATATTTAATGGCCATTAATTGAGATGTTGCTAACTCACAATTCATAATTTACAATTTAAATACAGCTAGTATATAAGTTCCTTTGTTTTAAAATTTGTTTAACGAAAGATAAAGTAGGCAGAAAATTACCTGAAGAGCAATAATTAAATAATTATAATACTCAAAGACTTTTTGTTGATGGCGATAATGGAATCGTTTGGATCAACATTTAGCTAAATCATTCGTGTATAAAAAACAGCCATAAGTATACACAAATTTGCCTGCCAAATAACGTTGATTGTGGAAAGAGCCAGAACCCTGGTCAGAATTGTATCTCGGAAAATTAGCGTTTAATGATAGAGATATAAAATGCCAGAACGTCTGAACCTCAATTAAATATACGGCTGATACTGATTCGGGTTGAAATCAAAATACTTTGTCAGCTGCAGCAAACCCGGAGTTACTCTAGCATGAGCTTGATCTTTGAATTTACTATATGACCAAATTGTTAATTAAACACGTCCGAAATTATCAATAAGAAATTAGAGACCTTACGATTTTAGGACGGCAACGGCTACCAATACAATAGATCATTGGAAAGAATTGAAAAATCACAATATATGAATAATTTAGACATTGTCCTCGCTCTGCTTACCCTACGCCAAATCACAGTTTTTCACGTCTTGATACAACGGCTGCATTTCAAGTCGCAACAAGTGTAACTTCAAACTGGGTTTAGCAGAACTCTTCCCAACCATAAAACCCATGTCTTCAACTTCTAAGGGGCTGTTTATATGGAAGCGAGCCAGCCCGGGTACCCGAGCTGGCTCGCATCCCCGAGATGAATTTCACCACGCGTTTACATGAAACTGACATGAAGGGCTGGCTCTTCTTGTTCTAATTTTTTTGGCGTAAACAACTCCATATATGGAAGTTGGTTCCTTATATGGGAGTTGTTTGTGCATTCTGAATTATTCTAATTATTTGCGCATGCGTATTTCCTAAATTTCCAGCCCTACTAGGAGGGCTAGCCCTCCCTGTTGCGTTTATATGGAAAACTACCCAGCCCGTTTACCCGAGGTCTCGGGTCACATGAAGCGGGACCTCGGTTAGGCGGGCCAGCTCGGTTCTCATATAAACGCAACATGAGACTGTATTAAATTCATACGATTGATAATATACGACGAATTATCTTTACAACCATTTATTTGAAGGAGATTGTTTTGGCGTCGTCGTCGCGTTGCCGTCGTAAAATCGTATAAAGGTCTCTATTATCGATTTTAGGACGGCAACGCGACGACGACGGCCAAAAACAAACTCCTTCAAATAAATGGTAGTAAAGATACTTCGTGGTATATTATCAATCGTACGTATGAATTTAATACTGTCTTAGAAGTTGAAGACATGGGTTTTATGTTTGGGAGGAGTTCTGCTGAACCTACGGTGTATAGACCCCAGCAGAAACACGTTTCACGAAACGTGTTTCTGCTGGGGTCTACACCGTAGGCTATGCTGAACCTAGTTTGAAGTTGCACTTGTTGTGAGGCTTGAAATGCAGCCGTTGTATCCGGACGTGAAAATCTGTGATTTGGCGTTGTAAACAGAGCGAGGACAATGATTAAATTATTCGTATATTGTAATTATTCAATTCTTTTCAATAATTTATTGTATTGGTAGCGGTTGCTGACGCGTTGCTGTCTTAAATCATAAGGTCTCTAATACAATAAATTCGCGACACAATTAATGTTGAGCCCTAACGTACCCTAAGACTAACCCTAACCTAATCTTAATATAACCCTAATCTACTGTAGTCTTTATCTGACACCAATCTAAACTTGATGACCTTTTTCTAAATAATCTGTGGATGCGACAACCTCGTTCCCAGGCTCTTCCCTCTTGTGGAGGAAAGACCCTGGTCGGAGCTCGGAGCTGGTCACGTGACCCATAGGAAATTGATATCCTAAGAGGGGGATGGAAAAGTCTCATATTACATGTTTGGAGTGGCCGTTCTGTATAATCATCTTTGAGAATATATATACTTCAAAATACTTGCTAAATTGGTTTCGGTTTACTTTTAAATTACATGGATGCGAATGAATCACACAGTATAAATAACTATAATCATCCACCGCATATGAGCTATGAACTATTCAGCATTCTGATTCTTGGAGCTACTCGCGCGCCATATATTATATCTGGCATGGATTCTACTGAGGCTGGGCCCAATATGGGAAAATATTAGGTCTAGACTGAAATATTGGGCGAGATTGAAGATCGAGCCTAATATTCAAGTCGAGACTTAATATTTTGCCATATTGGGCGAAGATGAATCCAATAAGTGTTTTATTATATCGAACAAAACAATTCTATAACAAAAAGTTGCATATAAGCGATAATAATACAGCAAATATAATACAGTGAGAATAATACAGCAATAACATTATCACATGTGCACATCGGCGGCGAATTTGCTTAAAACTAAACAAAAATTAATAAACTTGTTTTTAAAAACAAGTTTGCGTAAAATACTCAATTCCACATAATTATTTTTAAATTAGGTCAAATTACCTTTAATGAAAAAAGGATATATTATACTAACTTCACTATTGTTGTAACGAAATGAATTTCGCGAAGACAACTTTTCCCGCTCTTTTATTCTACCATTTTCGAGCTTCCGTGCATTTATAACTAGGTTTTAAAACGTTTCTTCAGCATGAGTTTTCATTCAAAACGTTTTGTTTTGCTCCTAAAATAATAACCTTCATCTTCCAAAAGCCAACACGAACTGGGGTAAACTTAGACCGACTTACTACGCTTCGATGGTCTTCAACAATTTGAACAGCTCAGTTGCAAACGTTAGTTCTCTGTCTCAATTTAAGACTCAATTAAATCTACTTCGTACTTAGACACAGTTATTGCATGCTTGATACATTTTAAATATATGTGTACAGTTTAGTTCGGGTATGCACCGTGTCTCTACGCCTAAATTAATTTTGAGCATTATTATCTTAACTTCTGATACTCAATTGATTGATTCTTTCCTATCATTTGAGGCACGTTGCATGCTTACTGACTAAATTAAATTACATTTTTATGAATTATAAATAAATGGTCTATTTATCATCGTTGTAACGTGCATGTATATATTTGTATATTTTTGTACAATTTAAATCTTGACAATAATTAATATTGTAAATAATTGTAATTTTGATGCAGGACTCCACTGAAAAACACGCAAGTGATGTGGGTATCCTGGATAAATATAATTATTATTATTATTATTATTATTAACTTCTGTGGGCGTGGTATAAAACTTTGAATTTGTCAGGGAATCAAGGAATTTTGTCAGTATATATAAAAGCGTCCGTGTGAAAAATAAAAAAAAATTTTCGCGTGCAAAACAATGTGCTTGACACCACGCCCACAAAAGTTATGGCAAAACAAAAAGTTATGATTGACAAACTCATGCTGAAGAAAGGTTTTGAAACGTAGTGATTAAATGCACGCTTCACGGTAACTCGCAAATGGTAGTAATTTTAAACAAAACCGGTAGGCAAGAAATGTCACAATGTTCCAAATTCTTTTCATTATTTTGCCATATTGTTTGTTGTGTGTTTCAAATTGACAAAACATATGAAAAAGTTTGATAAATCAGGAAAAAGTCACGGTAAGCTACTGTCCAATATGAACTGTCCTCATTGTAAAATATATAGCTGCCACGTGATGCTATTGAAGACCCATGATGGTCAATGGTAGCTATGTGAGCGTATAATAACAGCTCATATATATGGCGAGTTGCTAAAAACAAGATGGCGCTGCCCAAAAACAAGAAGAGTCAGTTGCGAAGCAGAAAAGTGGAAAATATTGGCTTTGAGAAAGATAAAAGTACAAGAAAAAACTCTCAAAACATTTTGACAGGTTTGTCGAATACATTTTCTTCCAGAAACTGATTTAAAAACAAGCTTTTTTGAATTAAAGAATTAATACCGAAACAACAGCGAAAAAATAGGTACGCTAAGGTATGGTAATGCGCTGTTGCCAAGGGCTTCAATCAATACTCAGTAGCTTGTAAAAATATTAAGAGACTGATGTTTAAATGAATATATTTTTTTATAAACATCACAAATATATATTATAGAGAACCCCCTCCAGGATATATAGTTATATACTGTAAGTTGATAATTATGACTGGTTGCAACTGTTACTATAAGTATTGATATTCCAATCTGAAGCTGAATCTCTGCTCTTTATGCAGCCACTATTACTTTGGCTTTGCTTTAATGAAAGCAATTAATCAATGCACATACTGCTTTATGCTCAGAGAAATGTTTCCAATATGTGTGACTTAGCTTGTGACTCTGCTAATGATTTATCAAAGTCTGGTTGTCTGTAATGAAAGCAAACACCAATTGTCTATAGTTATGATCATTGATAAAGAAATTATATAAGGCCTTTTATTGGTTTCATTCAACTAATTTATATCAATTAAAGTCGCCAATAAAAATGTTAAATTGAGAAGTAGGCCTACATAAACATCAACACTTACACTCGATATGCACCTACAATGGTAATATGTGGAAGAATCATTACTTTTATAGTTTCATAATAGTATCTCAATGCCATTAGTCAATAATTTGTTTGTCTATAAAAATTGCGAATCATTTCGTTTGCACTGCGAATTAAATTATGAAACCCTTCAAATGCTTGCAAAAAATACATTCTCGACCTTTGCCATATTCAAACTAGTAAAATGACGTTGTTTTGACTGCGTCTGATGTTTAATTGCTGCCGAAGGCAGCCCCCTATTCTTGACAATGTGTTATAGCGCATTTGAATTTCCCGCCAACAGTTTTATACACTTGTAGCGTATCTCGATTTTTGCGTGTTTGTCGGCATTTTGGCGTCATATTATGATGTTGCAGTAAGGAATTTATATTACATTGGAGCATTATCATACCCCAGGAGTTTACGATAGCAAATCGATGACTGCCGAATACTTTGTTCAGCGATCTGCGAACGACGTTCCAAGAATGGCATTTAAAAATATTTCGATCTGCAGCATTGTGCGTTTGTGGCATATATAAACACGAGGCCAGGAGCGAAGCAAAGACATTTTTTGTGTAAATACTGGCCTTATCATATTCAAGTGTTGTGAGAAAGGGAGATCTTTTAGAGGTATGTCAATTTGTTCGATTTTGTTCGCCCAAAACATTACATATACTGATATATGAGATAATATAGTGCTGAGAAATGTCTGTGAGTGTGATCCTGTTTATCAGCTTTTAAAATGCTATACTAGCTTATACATAGTCATACATATCAAATATTAAAACGCACCTATGGCTATGGCCATGAATGTAAATAACTACACGGTTAAGAGATTTTAACTTTAAAGACCATGTAAAGTCCGTAATGTAAACAAACACTTTGTTTACATTTTGAACTCAGTGCTACAGTTGTAAGTACTATTTACAACATGAGCGCCCGTGTTGTATCGGATATACAAACTCGAGCCGAAAGCGAGAGTTTGTATATCCGATACAACACGGACGCGAATGTTGTAAATGACTTAAAAAACGACTCATCTTATGAGTTCATTGGCGAAGTAATTTTAAAAATAAACGTTGTCTAAGCCGAGAAATTCAAAGTTAAAGTTTATGTAAATCAACATGAATCTGTATCACATATACAGATACGACACGCTTTATTAATGAGCTTTTTAAACACAATTATTAATGAGTTTTTTAAAATATGATCAGATGTACATTATACTGAATTTTTAACACTCTTCTGGTTGGCTATGCTTGTAAATGAATACAGACTAGAGATTCAATTCAAGAAAGTTCAAAAGATGCGAAATATTAATAACATTCCAGCGGTCGGGTACAGTTGTAAAATATGATTAGATATATATTATACTGAATTTTTAACACTCTTCTGGTTCGCTATGCTTGTAAATGAATACAGACTAGAGATTCAATTCAAGAAAGTTCAAGAGATGCGAAATATTAATAACATTCCAACGGTCGGGTCCCGACCATTGGAATGTAAGCCTGCGCAGAACGTATGCACAGAACGGACTTTACATGGTCTTTAAATATATTTAATTTATTAATTAATGTAGCATATCCAACACAAATCTCTATGTAACGTGGAATGTTGTATGTGTATGCACGTCTTAATAATCAGGCTTTATAATATAAATATATTCCTATGAACCCAGTGTAGATTGTTGTCTGCATATATTAACTTACCAGCATGCAGTTACAAGGTGTGACGGTCAGACTGTAAAAATATACCTTTGAGATATGTTCATTGTTAGCACAATATGAAATAATCCAACCGGCCTTCATTTATATATTCACCTGGCTGTGCCACCACATTTCCGGGTATACTATATTTTTTTCGATAAAGCTCACAATTTCTTTCTTATTATACAGTTTTGCAGTTCTGACTGTGTACAATCTTAGTCATTACAAAGAATGGTGTCATCTGAATTCTGAAGCCGACGTATTAAACAAAAATGTCAACAAATAGATTTTGTCTCCCCAATCAGCAGATTGTTCAGTTGTTCTGCGATAGGCGTGGCCTTGAAGGTGCCATTAAAACGATAATTGGGACAAAAACTGACTTAGTATTTCTATATATGAAATTCTGAAGCTGACGTATTAAACAAAAATGTCAACAAATAGATTTTGTCTCCCCAATCAGCAGATTGTTCAGTTGTTCTGCGATAGGCGTGGCCTTGAAGGTGCCATTAAAACGATAATTGGGACAAAAACTGACTTAGTATTTCTATATATGAAATTGTTATTAAATTCTACATGTCCAATGGATTCATTCAAGTATTATTATTGTTTATAAATATGGTATTATTGTACAGTATTGAGTGGCAAGCTTAAATGGCAACTGATCATGGTATACTAATAGACCTGCAATGCAAACATTAAAAACCGGAGCATGACCTGTTGCTAGGCTAGCTTCACCACTAACAGTATTATAATTATAGCGGATGCAAAAGCAAGAAGTTATAAGCATTGAAGGTATTTATATAAAAAGGGCCATGCCAAGAAAGTAGAATTAGAATATTTAGCTGACCTTTGACTTTGTGCAAGGTGTTTGGTATTCAAATTGCACTTTTCCTATACCTCTATTGTTGTTCCCGATGCTCAAAAGGATACTAAACTATATTAAATATATATGCCAGCAACCAGATTCGTCTATAGTAAAACAAGCTTTCCACAGCTCGAAAGAACTATACATGAACGGCAAAAAATCACTTTACTCTAACATTGTTAAAACACTTAAAGCCCATTATCCCATACTTGAGGAACCAATAGATTTAGGAAATTTTATCGAAAATGTGAAAATAAATATATATAATATTAGACAACATAAAAAACAACAATATTTTACATTGGAAACAACAAATAACCAATTCCACAAAACTATCATTTTACTGTAAATTTAAAAAAAATATGAATTGGAACAATATTTAACTACCATAAAAAATCCATCCCAAAGACGGATGTTCACAAATTTCAGAATTAGTAATCACAAATTATTAATTGAATATGGTCGTTACCAAAGTATACCTCGTGATGAAAGACATTGTAAAACCTGCGGCACTGGTGCGGTTGAAGACGAATTTCACTTTGCATTCGAGTGTCCAAGTTATAGTAGCATTAGGAACAATGCAAACAATATATTAAAAAATATTTTTCAGATGAACATTACAACGGATTCAAAACAAAACTTATTGACGCATGTGATGTCATGCGATGACTTAGTTATAATTGAGCTATTTTCTAGCTTTATTTCAAAATGTTTCTGCCTTAGAGACGGATGCCTTAAACCTGGGGATACTCCCTAATTACTATAATATATATATTATTTTGTCTATACTATATATTATATACATTTAAGAATCTTTAATTTAATATGAACTACACAGTAGTCATAACATTTGTTCTTGTTATAATAAGATAGACAGTGCTCTTAATAGCACTTCTACATAATACTTTAGCAATGCCTGTACAGGTCATGCCAATAAAGTTGTTAATAATAATAATAATAATAATAATAATAATACCTCCTGAACAGGCATCTTTGTAGGGGCTGTTTACATGATGGAAGGTGGGATGATTTTGATGTATTGAAATAAGTCAACAGGCTAAACGAAAGTTCAAATGATGGTTAACAGAACTCAAATGTTGTAGAGCATCTTGTAGTTCAAGAAGTTTATTATTGCTGCTTGAACAACCTTTCAGTTTACACTCTATTAACTGTGGTTTACAGGTAACTATTGCTATCTCTCGAAGTGTGCACCAGGACGTATTGAAATAACTTATTGCTGAAGTGTGCACCATGACTTATTGAAATACATCTAAATCATCCCGCGGTTATTCCAGCCTCATATCTCATCCTGGCAAAGCGGGATCATAAAAACAGCCCCTTATTCAGCAAATTGCGCATTCTGCCTTTGATCCCTTGGGGGTTAGGCAGCACTTTCCTTGCGATAGTAACTTCTAGTTTTAACTGTAAATTCACAAATATCCCTGTGTTTCACCCTTCAGTAAACCGTCATTTTGAAATTATTATCATTACGTCATTTCATCTATACGCTGTCGCTGATTGGCTAGAAGCACGCATACAAACTTCCAGTACGCGCACGATAGCGATATAGCCTATCTGCATTCGCAGATACAAAAACATGCTCATTGAGAAAATTGTTCAGGAAAGGTCGCAACGACAGGTAAATGAATTTGCAGTCAACAAGCACTAGTTATACTACCAAACATATCTATATAGGCTAATTAATATCTCAACTTTTCTGTGAAAATACAGGAAATTCTTTAACTTCGAGTTTTGAAACAACAACATTTTAAATTTTCAGGCCCAATTAACGGCGCGGATTTTAGCCGAACAAACTAGCAAACATTCCCACAGTGATCGTAATATAAAAATTAATGCCCAGCATAACGTACGCAAAAGAGCCATATAGACAAGAATATAGACATAAAATTTATTTGAGAAGTACTAACGTTTCGTCTTTAACTTAAGACATCTTCAGAGTAAATGAATATAGTATGACAATGAGTTGCAAATATGAATAAATTATTATTTACAATATCAAATTACAAGGTAATAGGAATGCGGAGGATGTGCGGAGGATGTGTGTGTGTGTGTGGGGGGGGGGGGGGGAGTTAAAGGAAAGAAGTCAGAGGAATGGAGCTACCTTGATGATTCAAAGAAGGTTTGAGCTTTGAGATGAGAAGACTTTCACGGACGAGAAGTTAATCTGGAGAGGAACAGGATGATAGAATCATAAAATCATCAAGAGAAGCAGTATGACCTGAGTGGCTCAGATAGGAAAAGACGCTCGTAAGTTGAGGACTGCTGCTCGTCTTACCAGTTAAGGCAGAAATATCCAGGTGTTCAGAGCCTTGTGTATGTAGATGGCGGACCGTTTGGCCCACATACGACGCGGAACAGCATCGACACAAAGAATAAACTACACAAGACCTCAAAGCAGCGGGAATTTTGTCCTTAAACATGAAGAAATTGGACAAACGTAGAGTGGGACGAAACACGATTCTGATGCTTATATGTGGGAAGGCTACAGAGCAAAGGCGTTGAATTTGGGTACGGATTTGGAGAGAGTGTGTGTTCCGGTATATGGGAGACAAAAGTATACCACTTTCTTTGATACAGAATGGATTAATTCCTTGGGTTGAAAGGTTTTATCAAGAAAGAGTCGAACACAACGATCAAAGAGACGTGTAGGATAACCATTCTGGTTGAGGATTTTTCAAAAAAACTCAATCTGAGCATGAAAATTCTCATAGTTAGAGCAAATATTGAAAAAAACGGTGTAATAGTGAATATATTAAACCACGTTTAAATTGTAGAGAAGTGAAGCTCTGAAAATTGGTGAAAAGCCCTGTGAATGTGGGTTTACGATAAACAGAGGTTTCAAAATGGCCATTAGTTCCTGTAATAGTGATGTCAAGGAAGGAAAGTTGACAATTGGATTCAACTTCACAAGTAAAGTCAATGTTAGGATGTTGGCGATTGAGATAAGCAAGAAAAAGAGGAATATGGTCCCTAGAACGGAATAGAAGGAAGGTATCGTCTACATATCGACGATCGATCATAAGGGCTTGAAATTGGTAGGGCAATTATCAAGCCAAGTAGTTTCGTGAAAGGATAAAAAAATGTTAGCAAATAGAGGCCCAAGAGGAGAGCCCATTGCTACGCCGTCTACTTGTTGATATAGGGAACCATTAAACAAGAAATGGCAGTTCTTGACCGCACAATTCAAGAGTTGTTTGAATTCAGAGCGAGTGAGATGGCATTCGAAAACAAGCGATCGGCAATTATTTCTATGGTTTCGTCTAGCGGGATATTAATATTAGTAAACAAGGACATAACATCAAAGCTAGCCACGGCAAGATTATCGGATTAAAGTCTAGACTTAACAATTCCTGCACAAAGGAGAAAGAATCACGAACCATGAAGGTGCTAGAGCAAATAGGACTCAGAATGGGAACAAAGAACTTGGCAATCTTAACCAACAGTGAAGAATATGTTATAGCTGCTGTTAATGGATATATTAAACTATATTATAAAACGCTCTCGTCAGCTCATAGCTATAGGCCTATATACGACTCGAGCTTAATTGTTCAATAATTATATGCATGCGTGTTATACAGGGTGTCCCAAAAAACCCGAAAACTATTGAAATCACTAATAACAATTTAATTGTTAGAATTTGAATGCCTTAGCGCTCTGTTGGTTCCCACGAGTGCATAAATGATTGACATAAGTAAATTTTATGGATAAAGAAACTGTTTAAGAAGCTGTTTTTAATTCCCAGGAGCAGAAAATCGAGCACTTTACCAGGAGATATTCCTAACTAAATTCTAATACATGCACCTTCTCAATATTTTACGCATCATTACGTCCAGCTGTTTAGTAGGGCATTCAAATTTAACAATAAGTGATTTCAATAGTTTTCGTTTTTTTTGGGACACCCTGTATATCGACTGAGCGAGAGCTCTGGACTGTAGGGTATTAATCTAGTTCTTTTTTTAAGTTATGTAACTAAACATTTTTTGACAAAGATAAAACGATGACAACATATTTTCAGAAATTAACGTATTGAAAGTCGAAAACATAGCCACAGTTCTTAGTCCATTTTCACCATAGTTCGCAGAAAAAGTCTTTCAATACCAATTCTGGCAGCACGTATATATTAAGTATGAACAAGCTTTCGTTTGTAGGGTATAATCCAACTTGAAAAATACCTGGAGAAATTCGACGTTTCGAGCGAAGGAACGTCAAATTTCACCTTGTATTTTTCAGGCAGTTGCATTCCTATATACCAACGAAAGCTTGTTATAATATTGGCACTACCAAACTGGCACAGATAGGTCAGTATTAAATATGACTATGTCAGCATTCTAAGCATTTTAGTACATGTAAACAACGTTTCAACTCATGTTAATGGGCACGTATAGTAACTTAAGGACTTGATTTGCCACGCTATATATTATATAATGAGACTAAGAGCCCAGCATAATGCTCTTATTTTCATTGTAAAATAATCATACGTCAGTTGCCGCCTTGAAAATCGCTTGTGAATAAATAATGAATATAGAAAAAAATATTTTCATCGACAAAGCAGGTTGGACCGAGCCCGGCTGCCATATAATCGAAACTCAAAAGTTATATAAGATTATTATAGTCCGCCCGGTCCATGTAATCGAATATCTTAGTGGCGCCAATTAGTTTACAACTACATAGAGCAATATTATCTGATCCGATTGTAACGACTATATACTGCACTCAGAAATATTTATTCTATATTTATATTCCCATATCAATGCTCTCCTTGGGTTGTTAGTTCATTTGGGTATTGGAACCAGGCAAATATCAGTGTGGGCTGTGGTACTTGAATTAGGGAAGTAATTATACCTGAAGCTCTGAACAGTGAAAGGAAGAATGAATCTCAACGTCCTTCAACATATATACTGTTACAACTAGTATGCTTACCTCTCCAAATGAAATATACCCCTTTCCAAAAAAACAATTATAGATACCGAATTTTAACAAATTTAAGATAAAATGTAGGCTTCTATATAGTGTAGACAAGCACGAAGTGCACAGCTGGAGTTTAATTAATATTGTGAATTTGTGAATGTAGTTAATGCATGCACGAATCCACAAAATCGCATATTATTATAAATTAAATGAACTGTTAAATACAAGCTAATCGTTTGGAGTTTACTGATACAAATTATGCAAATATATTAAATGACCGAATCCATAGAATCTCATAATATTAAATGACCTGATAATTACGCCCCTTTACATCGGATACGAATATCCTACTTATATTTTACTCTGCATGATAATGTGTACTCCGTCTCCTAAGAAGACCGTTCGCCACATAGGCTAGATAATATATAGCTTATAAGTTCTACGACGTCCACGTCATGATATCAGTAGGACATCAGGGCTTAGCAGAGGTGTGCGAATATAGGACATCGTCCTAAATAAATAAACATCCACTTCAGGTTCACGACGTCGACCTTTAAACTACAAATATTTACATCCTTTTTGAAAATGAATTTTAAATAGATACGTGATTTCATTACCGTTTGCTATGCTCTTGTATCCACTTGGCTACGCCTCGTTTTTTACACGCTTCTCTCGTGTTCTCCCAACATATTTCTTATATATATAATTAAATTAAAGAAAAGTATTTCAAATTTTCAAAGCCAAATTATCAAGACATTGCAACAGAGGATAATTAATTATTGCTTCAGTTAATGGCTATTAGATTACATTATAAAACAATTAATATATATATATATATATATATATATATATATATATATATATATATATATATATATATATATATATATATATATATATATATATAATGTATAGCTAAGAATTCCAACATTTAATTCCCGTGGGTCTGAATCAGATTAAAATGTTCTATTATAGCTAGCTATAAAGAAGATTGAGGTATAAACTGGTTTACCGAGAACAATGCTAGTAGTCCTACGAATTAGTATTTACCACTCTACTGTATTAGTTCGCGATGTAGCTATAGGTTAAAAATAAATAAAACGTACTCAATAAACTTTGTATATGTACCGACGCTATATATATATATATATATATATATATATATATATATATATATATATATATATATATATATATATATATATATATATATATATATATATATATATATATATATATATATATATATATATATATATATATATATATAGCGTCTTTCATACGCGCGTATACGCATAGCCATGGAGAAGTTTCAATTTTCCTAAATTTTATAAAATTACTACTTACATCAACAAATACACGTGAAATCACGCACAAAACTAAATGCTGTCTTTTCATTCATTCAATCATTTCGTAAGTAACATTTAAATGGAGTGGAATTCCGTGTATATATACACGCACGTACAGAAAAATGCCTGAAATCAGACCCGCTTTTACTGTAGTTAATATGTGCCATTGTCATTGAAAAGGAATTTCAAGAGTTAGTACTTAAATTTCAGGAAAACAGTCCAATATATATCCGATGACAGTATATATCCTGTTTGGCTGTTCTAAACATGCAAGTAATATATTTCTTTCTGAGTGTTCAAAGCGGTAATTCCGCATGTTTGCTCGCGAAAATTTATGGGAATTTCTGCTGAATCTATTAAACCTGTTATGAACTGCAAGAGTGCAAGTCCTGCCGGATTACAAAGGAGGAGCACTGAAATCGAAAACTTAAAAAAGGCTTGGTAAAATATTATAAATGCACTTTTATAATGCTATGGAAATTAATGATCAGAACGTATAATGAGAGTTGATGAGAGTTAGCCTGCGTGGCAGGCCCTCAATTTTATGGGGGGCCTGATTTGCAGCGGGCAGGATTTTGGCGGGCACGGGCGAATCCTCCCGCTGCAAATCAGCCCCCCCCCCCCATAAAATTGAGGGCCTGCCACGTAGACTATTTTGAATCCCACGATGCCGGACGAATTTGGGACCGGGATGAAATTCGTCCTTTTTCGCCTGTTTACACGCGAATTCGTCCTGTTAAGCCAGTTTCCTCTAGCGAAATCTGTCGCGCGAATCGTTTGTCTTATAAGCTCCATGCTATCCTGGATCGGATGGAGGGGGTTCTGTTTCGTTGCAGCTCTCGGCTTGAACTAATTAGGTTTTTAACCAATTCCTTTCAATTTTAACAATAAGAATTCGCCTCGCGCGAAGGAATTCGCTAGTGGAAAATAGGTTTTAAGGTCCAGACACACCGGAAGGGATTCGACAACGCGACGTGATTTTTTAGTTTTTCAAAGTTAATAAAACAGCGCCAATGAGAGGAAATTTTAAAAGATATGTAGACCAAATAACTCAAAATGTTGTAACGCTTCTAAATATTTGGAAAATTTAAAAAAACAAAATCAAACAAAATCACGTCGCGTTGTCGAATCGCGTCCGGTTTTAGTGCACGTGGACCTCACCTTTAAGGTCCATACAAATCGGACGCGATTTGGCAACTCGACGCGAATTTTCAATTTTCAATGACATTTAACTTCAATATTTTTCTATGTTTTTCAAATATTCGGAACCACTTGAGCAAATTTAGCTATTTGGTCTGCATATCTTGTAAAATTTTTATCCGTTGACGGTTTTATTTGTTTTTAAAAACTGAAAATTCGCGTCGCGTTGTCGAATCGCGTTCGGTCTGTATGGACCTTGAAAGGTCCAGACACACAGGACGCAATTCGACAACGCGACGCGATTTTTCGATTTTCACCGACCGATAAGTTTGAATGTCTTTGATCCTAGTTTGAATTTTCCGAATATAGAAGCGCTATAACATTTTGAGTTATTTGGTCTACATATCTTTCAAAATTTGCTCACTGGCTATTTTATTAACTTTCAAAAACTAAAAAATCGAGTCGCATTGTCGAATCGCGTGCGGTGTGTTTGGACCTTAAGCCGGTTTTCCACTAGCGAATTTTTTCGCGCGAAGCGACCTTTTTCCTTTTCGGCATCCATTTTGCCAAGTCTTGCTAACGTAATAAGGTTATGCCGACAAAGGAAAAAGGTCGCTTCGCGCGAGAAAATTCGCTAGTGGAAAACCGCGGGTTTGGAGGTCTAAAATATACGTATATGTAATTAAACTGAGGTTTTGTATCCTCATCATTATCGAAATGGCGTTATAATAAGTTAATAACAGCTTCAAGTTGAAAGGACAGGCATCGGTGCATGATTTTAATTACTATATTCTTTGTTACTTTGGCCTTTAAATTAAGGTTACAGGACACCCTTTTTGGCGTTTAGCGGAAAATCGCTACTGCGCGCTCAATATCAGTCCGATTTTCATCAAATTTTCACCAAATGTTTTCCAGTGCATGCAAAATATGGTAAAGTTGTAAAATTAATAAACAATAAAATAATGTAAGAATTATTCAGGAAAATCTTAAATCGCGGTACCTTTGCGCTTTTGAGTTGTGCTCCTGCTGGTTTTAAGTTATATTTATGAAAATATAATTTTTATACAGTAAAATAGTTGTTCTAAAAAATTGTGTTCGGAAATTTTTGTTTATTTCGTCATTCCGCTGATATGGCGATTTCTTTGACGACTGCAATATATTTCTGAATTCTTTGAGTGAATTGCTCTTTATTTTTAAAATATCCAAAACTAAAAAAAAGCCGAACACGATTTTGAAACTGACGTATTTAGCTATGTCCTGTGAAAATTTGAGAACTGAATTGGTTAAAACCCGCAGGAGCACAACTCGTTTGAAAATCAGTAATTACCGTAAAATGTTTCGGGAGAAAATTGAATTTGAATATTACATTTTCAATGTTTTTCTTATTGCAGCGAAATGTATTTTACTAAATAACTCTGCGAGTTTTCAACATTTTTCGTTCAAACTTGGTCAGATAGTAGAACTAGTCTAATGCTTTCATTGAAACCAATAAAAAAAATTTTAGGCAAAATTAACACTCAAAGGTGTTCTGTAACCTTAACTAGTGTATGGAAGTACAGTTCCCAACTTATCGTTTAAACTGTCATTCGAAATAAATCCGTTTCAGTTTAACCAGGAAATGTAGAAGCTGTACCGCATTCGATCAAATGGATTCAATAAATTTCACTATTCTAGAGGCAGGGTACATGTGTATATGTCATGATGCAACTGATTACATGCGTGAGATCTCGCATGCATGCATGAGTAACGGCAAGAAAATGCTAATAGATTAGGCTAAATCATATAATTTGATAATTGCGTGGCTAAATATCCAGCCTTAGGCAAACAACGCTCCCCGGTTATATATTACCTATACCGGCCATGCCATCACAGGCCGTTTGAATTAAAAATGTATAACCTTAAATTAAAAATGTACAACACAACAGTATCAACGTCAGTGAGGATAGTCAGAATTACTGTAATACACTGACATGATTGAATCTACTATGTATATATATGACAATTTAAACTACCCCATCATTGAAATTTATCTGAAAACACTAACAGTTGCTAAACAACCTGACGAACGCCTAATTTTTAAAACATATTTGGCACTGATTAAAATGCTTGCAAGATTTTGGAAATATATTATTATATTTTATAACATATATACATATAGCCTATGTATTTATAAAAAAATTATAACGATACATTCGAGCATAATTTGGCCTGGTCCATATACAACGGCCTATATATAGTAAAGAAACATCAAAATACTGATTTTGAATGCTTTCTAAGACAAAGTAAAACTTCTTTATATTGAAGCAAGGAATTTGTTCGTAAGGACAGAATGGGCTTTGTTCTACCTTCGCCCTTTCATCATTTCATAAGATCATCATTGACATTATTATAAACTTAGTTTTCAGCAATAAAGTCGCGATAGTAGGCATCGACTGTTGTTTGAAAATCGGTTTCATATCCGCTATTAAATAACAGCGCAACGCCGTCAAAGTAAAAGACGTTTGATTAAGGCATCCGCAAAGGAATAAACATCCTTGACAAAATATCTGCAACAAGTTAGGATAAACCACAGTCTTACCTTTGAATTGAAGAAGCGATTGGCATGAATTTCTCTTTTTATTCGTTCATATAAAAATATGTTTGCCAGTGTCGACAGTATAAACAACAACGCCACATACGATATCGTATTTCATTTACAAATTCAGTGGCAAAAATCAACATGACATGTTCTAATTTGCATATTCTGATTCAGTACATGCCGCGTGTTATATTGCTACAGTCAAAACAACAACTCGTTGAGTGCTAACGCCAATACTCGAGAGGGAAGCCCATAAATGTTCGACCGAGCTGTTTCACAATATTTACTTAGGCTGGCATACAGTATAGTCGTGTGAAAATGTTTGATAACTAATACTTCCTGCCAAGGTCATTTCCGCTGTTTTCAAATTATTCGAGGGTATTTTCCTAGCTGTAATTTTGAGCGTGACTTATATGATCTAACCAGGAGTTGTTGCGAAAAATGGAATTATAGGTCCTCTCACTCCTCTGGCAGCAATCGAACCTGCTGCCCCTCGATTCGTCAGGAGTTTGTCGGTAAACCGAGTCAAATCCGAGCCCGAGTCAAATGTCCCGAGTCACTGTTTGGCGGTCTTTGTAGTTCAGTAACTTAGGGCCTTTTCATATGGGGAAAAGTTATCCCGGTTAGCGAGAAATCATTTCGACAGCCCAAATAATTTTGTTCTGTTCATATTGAGAAACTTGGCCGCTTGCTGGGTAAAGTTTCCGGCTTGTGACGTAGCACTGCATGGTGTGACGCGCAGGCGGGAAAAGTTATGTGAAAAAACATTTTAAAACCAGAAAAGCTGCTGAAATGACAGAAACTTTTCCCGCTAAGCGGGAATGTTGTGGCTATGTTGTGTTCATATGGGAAAAACATCCCGGTCACCGGATTCACGCCTGTCAACAAGCTAGCGAGATCTCGGTACACGGGAAAACTTTTCGTATCATACGTTAACTGACGCAGTGTTACTTTTCATATTATTTTCATAACAAGGCGAAAGCTCGCCTGTAAACTTGTCGAAATGTTTACTCGCTAACCGGGATAACTTTTCCCCATATGAACAGGCCCTAAATACCCTAACTTTACTAACCCTAACCCTATTCGATTGTGAATTTTGTTCAATTTTGTCTTTTTTAGGTGACTAGGACGTTTGACTCGCGCTCGGAATTGACTTGGTAAATGGATTTACTCGATTTGCGAGTATTTACAAAGGTAACGTGAGTATGGGTAAATATTGGGCATATCACCCGATTGGTCTAATTGTTGAAGGCTTTTGTAGATGGAAATATTGAGTGTAAATATACATTTATCACAGTTAACCTGGAGCAGTTTTTCAAAGAAAAAACCCAATCAATATCAAGTGAACACATCCGGATAATTTCGTGTGGTTTTATAATAGTTCACATTTATTGATTATTGTATGGATTGTTATGCCATGTGTCATGATGGGCAGTCATCTATTCATATTAGCAGCAGCTGCTCCATTGAGGCACGCCGTGACACATATAGGCACTGCATGATACTATTCAATGTTATTGTGAGATATACAACCAATTCGAAAAAGGTTGTCCTCTGCAAACTTTACTAATATAAACTATAGTTCAAGCTTAGTAGAGTGCATGAATATTGTAGCTATTTGTGAATGAGATATTTACTGGCACGTCTCCAAGAAATGGGCCCCATATATGATTCCTAAACTGATTAAATGACGCTCCCATTATGCTTTGCATGCTTAGAATTTAAGGTTTAGTAATGTTTAATAATGTTTGCAATGGACAACCTTTTTTGAATTAGCTGTATACAGTAGGGGAGATGGAAGAAATCGAGATTTTTGGCATGTCGTTGAAAGGACTAGTAGCGGATGGGATTTCTGCCAGAGGGCATATTATTTAGTAATAGTTGCATTTTTATTTTCGTAACTGCTCCTAGTTTAGACTTGCTCCAAGTCTCTCTTTCATTGTCATACAGTATCGATCCACTATAGTGCACATTACATGACGTAGCAAGGAGGGGCGGAGCGAGAAAGAGAGACTTGTCAACTTCGGAAAATCTCGGTTCAAAACTGAACCGAAAATGCAAGACTTGCTTTAATTGTTTTCTGTCAGTGTTTATATGTATTCATCTAGCACAATGTAAATAACATGAGTTCCATTATAGTAAATAATACAGAAAGAAATTGAAGGAAACGAAATAAAGCAAGTCTTGCGTTTTCGGTTCTGTTTTGAACCGAGATTTTCCGAAGTTGATGTATTGGGTTGTACAATAATCTATCTGCGATCGCCTTTTGGATGATGTTTATTTATGTTTCGTTAGAGCATGCGCAGGAGAGCTAAGATGGCGTGCGAAGGAAAACAGTGTTTTACCTAAATCTACTATTTTGTAATTTTCTATATATTTTGATAATTAAAGTCAAATGAAACCTGTTTTCGGTCACATTTACTGGCAATCCCAGTACAGTAAAACACTAACGTTCGCTGTGGCATTCCAGAATTGTGAAGAAGCCTAAATACAAAGGAGTTTTGCAGCCCAAAACTTGTGTATTGCTTGAAGACAAATCCAGGAATCAGCCATGAATGTTGAAGATAAAAAACAAGAAAGAAGCAAGGCTAAAATGGCGGTCACTGTCGCTGCGAGCCGTCTGATCGGAGCCTACAACAATCTCGTACCCAGAGCCATCGTTGAGTGGCTCTGGCCACACGAGTTGAGTTAATTAGAAAATACGGTAAAAGTACAGTATTTTCCAATTAACTATTTCGTACCCATTCTCCGGGAATTCGCGCGCGCCATAGTATTTTCAAGAGGAGTGGAGAGCTAACTTTTTGCTGAAAATATCAATAAAATCGCAATTTTTCCCGTCAAAAGCATTAAAATTTGTTCGGCGCAGTTAGTGTGAACAACAAGGATACTGAGTGCACGTGTGATTTCCGTTTAACAAGTAATTTGAGATGATTGAAACACCGGCTTGTACACATGTCAACACTCATGGAGTCATCGATCATTTATTTTGTCTCAAATGGCTTCTATTTCCTTCAAAATGTTCCGATTTCTTCTTAAGGTATAAGTACGTTTAATTATTTGTTATATAAAAGTAATTTAATAACTCTCAGCTTTATTATAATAGGCTATTCTTGAGCAAGAGCGTTGCTTGTTGCACACTGCCTTGGTTGCCTTTAATAATTCTTTAATTTGTTACAATTTATATTGTTCATGTCATCATTATTTTGTTTCAAGGTTAATTTTTGAACCTTGGGCTCTGAATTTCCATCCTAATTGTAGTCTAGTTAGAATACCACAAAATATATTGTGTATGTTAGGGAAAAATGCAGCAGATTTTCAGAAATTCTATAGCATCCTGTGAGCTGATCATACCCAGTATTTAACTATTTATTTAATACTATTATACATGCATTATTATGAATCTATCATACCCAAGGAATTTAAAACCATAATGTTATTCTTTACACAATGATAAAATAAAGATTTTTTCTCAGTAAGGAAGGCCTGTACTGCTGTAGCAATTGAGCAAAAGCCTGTAGCAGTATACCAGTGTGTGTTTAATTTTTTACTTAACTTGACTATTTTATAGCTTTAGTTTTACATTTCTTTCAGATACACCTGGGACTGTAAATGTGATAATCTTTTTATTATGCTAATACCTCCAGAAACAATGGAGAAATCAGTCTCAAGTTAAAATTATACAGTCCTGTATTCTGGATCAGTAAACAACTTGGCATGTTGCATTATAATGAAGAGTCTAAGATAATGAAATACTCAAGAATGGAATAGTATCGTTGGAGAAGTGCATTGCTCATTAATTATGTGATAAAAAGTAGTTACTGGTTAACGAATCAAGAATCACACCTGGCCTGACTAATAACAATGTCCTGTTTGAATAAGTGTAATATAATTTATACTTTCATGCTTGTATTGCTTGATAGGTTGATGTGTAGAATGACACATTACTGAAATCAATAAAGGTTTTTCAGAACTTGCAATTCATTTTATGGGTACCAGGGGAACCATTTGACATCATTAAGTTTTCCCAGGGGTCCCTATGACATCATAATTATTAAATGGGAGAAGAGGTGTTTTACAATATATTACACTTTATTGCATATTATCTGGCACTGACACAATTCTTTGTGCTTTGGAGGCCCCTTTTGAGCTGGGCTTTTGCCTGCATCCCTACTTTTAGCAGTCCTAAAATTGTTAAAGATGTATGAAGTTATATGATAGTTCACTAATAAACCTAAAATTTGGTTTTAGTAGTCTTATTCTGAAAAAGTAAAGTTGTTTTTGTTGAGCATTGGACTTCAAATACAATTGTTAATTGTTGCACACTCAGTTGTCCATTACAAGAATGAACATCATATATCTATATATAGTACTCCCTAAAAAAAACAAGCAGAAAATTATTCAATGTTTCAAGCGAAGGCCCTTCGTCAAGAGTTAGTAACCAACGTTGAGTTTCTGCTTGTTTTTTTTTCAGATAGTATTACTATATAACCACTCAGCTCAGCACAGCAAGACTGTGGAATAGTTGACAATCATTTATTTACCAGTTTTATTGGCACCATTGTATAAATTGTGTAGACGGTTTAATATTATTACATACTGCACGTAGTACATCCTGCTATTCTTAAAGACCATGTAAAGTCTGTTCTGCGCATGCATTCTGCAGGCCTACATTCCAATGGTCGGGACCCAACCATTGGAATGTTATTAATATTTCCCACCTTCCAAACTTTCTTGAATTGAATTGAATCTCTAGTCTGTATTCATTTACAAGCATAGCAAACCAGAAGAGTTAAAAATTCAGTATAATACATATCTAATATATTACAACTATAGCACTGGGTTCAGAATGTAAACAAAGGGTTTGTTTACATTACATACTTTACATGGCCTTTAATGAAACCTTTTTTGGCTACTAACACCAATGTTTCTGACAGAGTTGTACAGGCAATACTGTAAACAGAAACAATATATTGTATCATCAAACAATTCTATCAAACGAGTTGCAAAGTCTGCAAAAGAATCCAAATGCTGTTTAATTGTTACATTCAGACCATGATTCATACATTTACAGTTCAATTAAAAAATCCCAAATCTTGTATAAACACAGTCCTAGCATACGTGTACGCTTGTAAGTCTTGTACGCTTGAAGTTCTTTTCAATAATAACACTCCAATATAGTAGATCAAGGACATATGCCATCATTACCATCAATACTCACTCAGGGTGAACCAAGAGTATGAATTATTACCATAACGAAGGCTGTTATTTTGCCCAAATGAATTAAAATATGCATAAATCAACTCCTTAATCCTT